ATGTCTGTGCATATCTATGTATGCGTGCGTGCGATTGTGTGTTAGTGCATAAGTGAGTGTGAAAATTATTTTGCGTATTTATGTATGCTTTTATTTTATATACAATATTTTGTAAGTTTATGAATAATGCATTAAAGTCATTTGTTATTTGTTATTTGTTCTGCTTGTTTTGTCATTTTTGTTTCGCAGTTATTATTTTGTAGTATGTACTTTTATCGGGGTATCCACAGGGGGATTTACTCCGTCGAGCTTGCTTAGCAAGCGCAATGGGTCACAATATACAAAATTATGTGTATTTTATAATGCTCAAATGTTTTTAATATTTAAAATTCTTTGAAAAAGGATATTAAATTGAAATTTGAATTGTTAAAATTCCTGCTAATGGTTTTGGCACATTGGAAAACAGTTCAAAAAAGCTGCATAAATACATTATCGAAAATATGTTTTATTTATCATAAAAACTTTAGTCCCAATTTAAAACTAAACTAAGAAAAAGAGTGTTAAAATGGTAAAAGGAACCATTAAACGTTTTTTTTAAATAACGCATATAGAGCACTTAACACCCATTAAAATTTTTGAGTATTTTTTTACAAATAAAATATTTATAAAACATTTATAGAAATATTGATAGTGTCATTTAATTTCATTATTAAAATTAAATAATAACCTATTAAAAGTGATATTGAAATAAAGTGTTTTTATAGAAACACAACGATTTGAAAAACAGGAAATTGACAGGAACTACCTAGTATTAACACAACATCAAACTCCCATAAGCAATCGATCAACAGTTGTCACATTAAGTAAATAGACTACCCTTTTAAAAACAGTATGAAAAATAAGCTATGTGGTTATGTTAGGTTATACTAGTGTCAGACTCCGAGTTTAAATAAAACACGTCTGTTTAGTGAAGAGTATCCAGTCAAAACTGATTTTAATTTCTTTATTATATTTCTTACATTAATGCATTCCGAGAGCGTAACACTCACGAGAGTATGAAAAGATACATAAGAGCAATGATACAAGAAGTAACAATAAAGCAATAAATAAAAGTAAAAATAACAAAAGAGTGACACTAGCAATTCCTACAGGAACCACTTAGGCCTATTGATAGGGCCAATGTTACGGTATATAGAGAAAAAGCTCAGGGTTTAACACCACCTAGAACCTCTGGCGAAGCTCAAAATACCGTTTAGTGTCAAGTCTTAGTTAGTTAGTTAGATCCTCAAGAAAGGGGCTCATAAACTGTTGAGTCGTCGACGTACATGAGATGAGCAACGACAGAGTAGATGAGAGGCACACTCATCGGCTTCCCCACAGCTGCGACAGGTATGATTGAATGGGAGATTCAAACTCCTGGCATGGTTCCTTAGTTTTCAGTGAGCTATAAGTAAACTTACCATAAGACTGATATCTCTACGAGACATCTCAATGAAAATATTGAATTTCCTTTTAGTGGTAAGTGGCCAGATTGCACACAGATACCTGCATATCGTAAAGTCTTCAAATCTTTTATTAAAAATTTCAACACAGAAAGAACTCAATAACAATTTCCATGATGTCAACGATATGAACAGATTACTTAGGTGTTTCGAGTGAGATCCTGAAGCACCCTTTCTGGCTAGCTCGTTTGTTCTGCAATTACAATTGCTCTGCGGTTAAACAATTAAATCAATCACACTATCACACTATAGTAGTTTTCACCATTTTGATACATAGAAATATTGATAATGTGATTACTAATCCATTAAACAATAACCTATTGAATGCGACATAAAAATATAATGTATTTGTAAAAACAATTTAAAAAATAAACATTAAAAAAAAAAGAAATATCATCTCAAAATTGGTTCTACTACCTACTGTAAGGTAAGTATCAGAGATGAAATATTGTCCCTAATATAATAAGCGATATTATGCAAAGGGACTTAGTTAAGATAAGTACTCGAGCCACTAGCTGTAGTATTAACCCAAAAAAAAAAAAACCGAAATTATGCTGGCTTTCAGTAACTTTCAATCACCTCATTTTATACTCTGTATACGTTAAATATTCTGTATTAAATACTCTGTATTTAAGGTATACAAATCGATTTTTGTTAATATCATACAATATCATTATATAAATTTTTAATACAATTTCATTAACATTTATTACGTATCAAAGTCATTATCGCGTAATTTTCAAATATATTTAATTGAAACAATTAAAAAAATGCCATGTAATTGCCTCTGTCCAAAAACATACATAAATATAGGATGGATAAAAAAGGACTTTAGTAATGGATAGATATAAAAGAAATAAAATAAAAATTGCAGTGCAAAATAAAATTGCAAAAATTTATTTATAATTAAATAAAAAAATCTATTGGAATTTGAATAAATTGCGACGGTACATCACAATAGGTTCGAGGTCCTTATTAAATTACCGCTTAATCGTTCGGAAAATAAATGTTTATTTGTTGCATTTCAATTAATGATTTGAAAAATATATACAAAAAAAAAAAAAACAAAACCCTGTAATCAGATTACAACAACATATTTGCATATGGAATAAGCCAAATTGTGGATGGACCTATGTGGGCAGAGCAGGACAGACAGAAATCATACCGATAAACAAAAGAAAAGGATATAAATAATTTGCAACTATGTTTTAATTGATTTTTGATATTAAATAAATTAAAAACACAGTTTACAGACTTTTTAAACAATAATATATAATCAAATATAAACAAATGAACTTAGGGGGCAATTTAGGGTCTAATACATTTAAATAAAGTTTAATGCATATATAATTTTATATTCATGGGTATAGATAGGAAGCAGAGGCCATAAACGCATGCGCGCCCTCTTCATTATGAAATATGACATCAAGCACATTTTTAAAGGACTACCACCTATAGTGTCCTAGGCTATGTCCATGTTTAAATGTTTTGATTATAAGTAAATTACCAAGAAATAAATATAATTAATTTTAAAATAAAGAATTTTTAATATAATTCTTCTAAATTTTTAATGTTTAAAGTAAAGAAAATCTACAGTTAAAATAATTTAAGACCAAGTCTAGGGAAAAAGTCCTGGTATATGCTATATCCTAATCACTGAAATTGTGAGCTAAAAGACAGTAACTTAGATAATTTAGCTGAAATATTTTGTGAATTCTAAGAAAAATTATAAAATTTCATCTCATCTCAAAATCAATCCAACACTATTTCTATGATTCAAAGGTTAGAGGTTTAAATAATTGAAAGCGTGTTTGTCTTTTATGGATACTAGATTTTTTTTTGGTGCAATATCAGAAAATAGTTTAAATGTATCTATTTTAGACACCACCGAACAGGATGTATAAAGCCGGAATAGAGTAATAAACCAAGTCTTAGATGCATGCGATCCTATAATCCAGTTTTCCGGTAGTTCAAGGGAATAAATAAGGAAAAATATTTGTGCTTGTTTCGTCTTCTTAGCGATCATTAAAACTTCAATAGGTGATTTTGCAAAGTATACTTTAGTCCATTAAATTTAGACGACAGGATTAAATTTCCTGGATCATCCTTGTTTTACAACGGATTTTAGTAGAAAATCGAAATTGCACCAATTTAAGATTTTTGTAAAAATCGTCGAAAGAGTCTTATCATATATGACTATTAATTTCTGATTTTTTAAATTTAAATCATTATCTTTACCTTCAACTAAGACATGCCAAGCAAGAATATGTTTTATTTACAAATACAAAGTAAAAAAAAGTTGGTAACTTGTTTTGATTAAATCTTTATAAAGCCATATGGTCTTTATAAACCATATGATAGGATTCGATATATTACCAAATGCAGTACATATAACTGTTGCGGTATATGAGATACCAGAATCATATTCAATACGGTACTGCAGTAGTTTACGATATTCAATTGTACTGCAACGCATTGCATTCAGTACATAGTAGTCATCTTATTTAAAGCAGTTGACAGTTAAAACTTTAATATAAGTTAGGTTAGGTTGAAGTGGTAGCCTTGTGTCTAAACCTTACATAGGTTCAAATAGTGGCCCGTTGTGGTATCACTGGATAAGCATTTGTACGTGCGCCGACTAAAAATCAATTCACAAGCAACGCCGAAAAACACGACTCCCCCATTTGGTAAAGGTGAACCAACCTGACACTTCGGTTACCTGACACTTCGAAACGCTCTTCTTTGAATAGACACTGACACATGAGGTAGAGCACAATTTTCTCCTCATTTTCAGAGCCATAACCTCGAAAAAAGTTATTATAAGATAACATAGAGACAGGTTAATCTAGAGATCTGACAAAAGGGCAGATCTCTACCCTCTTGGCAAAGCCAAGATATTATGGTTTGATTGCCAGCTTTGCTGTTGCAAGTGGAATCTCAATGTCTGAAAAGTATATGTCAAGAAACAGAGTGCCAGCTCCTCCACTTTACAATTGCCTAAGATGTCCCTGTGTTCAGGATCCCTTTTGAGTTGGACTCTGATATGCCCAGCTAGCTCATTAAGGGATGCCCGGCATTCTCAAGTTGTTGGAGATGTAGCAGTAGTATCTACCAAATATTTAATGGCAGCCAAATCCGAAGATTGCCATATTAGCATTTGGAATTTGGTTATCTTGGGCCCATATAACAGCATATTGAATTGCTGCCTGAAAGAGACTGCACTTATTTAGTAGTCGAACCGAAATGCTAACACTCAGTTTTTTAGAAAATATACCACAGCCGATGAATCATCGTTATAGATTAGACCATTACATAAATTCACATATACTTGATTTTTTTTTTTTAAACATTTTAAAATTCTTTGATTATAGTTTGGAATTATCACTGGTTCCATATTACTCAAATGTATATTTAAAATACTAAAATCATTTGAATTATCTGGAACAAACTGGTTCAGACATAAATATGATAAAATGCAAATTAAAAATATTAACAAATAAAAAATTCATAAATAAAAATTGTAAATTATAATCACGCAAGAAATAAAAGCATTCTTACCTGTAAATCTGTCAATCGAAACAGTTTGTTCATCGGAACTGGTCCAAATGGATGACAATGCCAATGGTGAATCGAAGCAGATAATGTCGCCGACAGAAAATATCGTCTGAGGTTAATAAAATAGACATACAGAAAACATCAGAAACATCAGCAGCAACAGAGTCATCAACAACAATGGTAATAAAAAAACGGCAGAAGGCATTATCAACCACGACAAATCAGAGCATCAGCGTCAAAAGCAACATTGATATCAGTAACAATAACAGGAGGCGAAGGCGAAGGCGGAGATGGAGGCGTTCCCGGAATCGTTGCAATGAAATTGCATTTGTATATATCGATAATGTTTCCAGCAGCATGCATGCAGCATAAAAATCATAGTAAATATAACGTTCCATCAATGTTGGTAATAGCGTTGATGATGACGATGATGATAATAGCGCAAGCATTGAAGACAACAGCATTTTCAGTAGATTTTTTTTTTTGTATGGAAAAAAAATTAGAGATAAAAAATTGAGTATAAAAAATTGAGTATAAAAAATTATTTTAAAATAAAATACATATAAAAAGTATGAAATTTAGTGATTTTTGTGTGCTTCTTTCGTTTTCGTACACCGAATATTTTTTAGTCTTTGACAAAATAGTATAAAGCAGAGTAGAGCGAAATGATGGCGTAAAATTGACATTATCTCTAGTTCCATGCAATGTCATTTCAATAAAAATTTATAATACTTTTTACTGGTGTTAGATATTTTGGAATCTTTTGTTGCAATCGATAAAAACGTAATGATTATATAGGTCATCAATTCACGCAAATGTACGTACGTACGTTCGTTCTCATAGCGATTCAAAGTATTTGCAACGTTTTTATATGCAACTTAAATTTTAATTTAGAACCATTAAATTGAAATACTTGTACGTGTAATGCAATTTAATACAAAAAACTTATACTTCAGATAGGTAAAATGAAATAAAATTATATTGGGAAATCAAACAAAATATACTTTTTAATATTAGAATTGTGATCTTTATATTCAATTAAAATCATCGTAAGATATCATAAACTCTGGTGGAGGCAATAACTTAGACGAATATATGTGTACACATATTAAACAAAATTTTCACACATAATAAAAGAATTACAGAATTTATATATGAACACGTGGCAACCTTCACAATCCATGATAAAGCAAGCAAAAGATATTTGTTGTCCGGTACTAAAGTTCGAAATTACTTAATTTAGTTATAAAATATACCGCCATAAAAAATAAATAGATTAATTTTAAATAGTCTAGCGTTTCATTTTCTCGTGTAAATAAAAGATTAACCATTTTAGGTGACCCTGCCAATAGAAATCTCATTCATCACTTACTATAATTGATAGGCCTAATAGAAATCTTAGCTCCTTCGACGCTAGATATAAACCAGCATAAGCAAAAATTCATGAAACTATCGCCAACCGATATCCTTTCTATACAAGATAACATTATCATATGCGCCATTATTTATCAAGGTCCCCAAATTCAGATTAGATTACATAGATTAGATCCCCAAATTCAACTCAACATCATCTGGGAAAATTCGACACCATCGAGAGATCCGTATGCATTATACAAGAATTTTTCACCAAAATAGCATATGCGGAACAAAAATTATAGTTGTATGTTAACGAAAAATTGACTAAGTACTATTGTTTAGATTGGATATCATCTACAATAAAATCTAAAACTATTCAAAGTATTAGAATAATGGGTATTAAGTTTGAATTTTTAGTATTCATCAACATTCTTAAATCAATTGTAACTGCTTATAAGAACATCGATGAAAAGCGAGTGGCTGAAGAAATCCAACAAAAGTAACTAAAGTCTGTCAAAGATCTTAGAAAAAAGCCAGGTACCCAACGCAACACCTGACTTATTAATGTAATAGACAAATCTATTAACCGACCAACTAACTCATGTTGTTGTTGTCGCTGCACTCCACAAGCATGTGCCTGTAGTCTCTTTTAGGAGTGCTAAATAGCAGTTGTTCGTCGAACTCGACGAGTGCACTGGAATGTTAACCCGACCGTTCTTGGAACCTTAATGTTGTTGTTGTTGTAATCCGCTGGTATCTGTAAGCAGATAACATGAAATAGGATGGGTAGTGGTTGAGGAATGATAGAGGAGGAATGAGGATAAGGGGTTTCCTCATTCCATGGGTGTGATTTAACTGAACATTAAACCGGATTCAATCAAAGAAACCTGGCCACTTCAATTGGATCGGCATCCAAAGGTTAATTAAAGGGACGTTTGTGTGTATTGTAGGACAGGAACATTAATAGTTCCCTTTTGAGAATATTGCACTTTACTCAAAATATCGACGGGTGGAAGCTAGAGGCCCAAAATGCATATTTTTCACTTTTCAAAAAATTGGAAGTTGCAAGTCCCAATACAGGTAAACATGGAGAGTGAATGAACTTTATTGACGCATATAATTACCACCAGATGGCCTCGCAAACCAATTTTTTTTTTGTAAAAAATTCCATATACTTTTGTACGCACTTTATAGTGTTATTTTGTGCTTTCTAATCTACAGCAGAACATTATACCATATTTAACCAGTTCATTGGCAGTTGGGGGTATTAACCACATAAAGTAAATGCATATATTTATTCTTACTTAAATATTAAATATCAAGTAGTTGCAGTAGAAACTATACGCTATTTCGCTCAAATACTTTTCATATTCTTCATCTATTGCATTTCTAATGTTACCCAACGAAAGGAATTTATTTCAGTTCTTTTTGCAATTACTACACTTTTTGCACAATCCACAACAACCGTTGTTGCAACAAAGCATATTTACGTAAAGCAATTTAAAATAAGAATAATAACAATAATAATCCACAAGGGACATGACATATTTTTTTAAAACCTTTGGCAACATGTTTAGTGAGTGCAGTCGACATGCAACACCAACAGACTACAACACGAAACAACCGTCCAACCTACAAACATACAAACATATCTACAAATACCCGCCCGCCGTAATGCTATATATCTGAAATAAAATGGAATGATGCAAAAAAAAATAGAAAAATCCTGCTGTGCTTACCTTTGTTGGGTAAATATGTTTCGATTCTGCTACTGACAGCTTGATGTAATCCTCAGCATATTTAACTCCGGTTGTGTCCTTTAAACTTATGGCGATCATGTTGTTTGTTTCACGTGGCAGATTTATCTATTGCAAAATAAAGAAAAATATTTATATAAAAAAAAAAAAGAACAAGAAATAAGCTGAAAAAAAATAAATTAAAATTGCGAAATAGAAGACGTAAAAGTTAAAAATACAACTTCAGTTTGACGCTACTTTCGTTGTCACAGTAAAAGTCCTTAGTGTATCCTTTTGCCTTCACTTGCAGTGTCAGAGACGGTGATACGGTACGGTGATATTTTTGTATTCACCATTCGTTATAGGTAGGACAGGCAGCTTATAATAAGCAAAAAAAAATGTACATCTATTCGCTGTAGCGACACATAACAATGTGAATCGCATTTTTATGATTCAGCTTGCAATGCCACACAAGAATTTAAGCACATCCAAAACCAAAACAATACTGCCATATAAAAGCGTTATACTTTAATGCAAAACAACAAAATACAAAGCACTTTTAATGCAACAAAAATACGTGATTGCGAATTAGGGAATATGAGATATATGTAGCATACGCACACATAATTGACATCATCAGAAGATCCGTATTAATTGTACATGAATCCTACACATGGTAGAGCAGTCAATGCAAATAGTGAAAGTGAATTAACAAAGGAATGGCGAAGAACATTATTATTCAACCATCCCGAATCCACCTCCATTCCCTAAGCCAACCATCCTCAATCAAATATTACCCATCCACACCCTAACCCATGTATTCGTCATGTAATTCCTTCATATTGTATTCTTTCAGATCCCCACGGGCTACAACAATAACAACAAGTACATTGTACGCTACAAGTACGGCCGGAGCCACTGGTCAATTTTAACGACCAAGTAACATTCACTACCACAAGCAGATCTCTGCAAACCACAAAAAAAAGCACATTGCATATAATAAGAATATCTAAGGCATTTCAAAAAATTAGAACTGAAAAGCTGGAGGCGTGATGTTAAGGTGGTGCACAAGTTTTTAACTAGGTATATTGGATGTTATTGTTAATGTAACACACTGGGAACTGGAAAGCAGATAATATGAAACGATTTACTAACATAAGTTAGGAGATTTTTAACGCAGATGAAGAAACAAGCTGGTGACTGATCCTTTAAAGCGTATTATAATCTGTCAAATCTCTTTAAATCCAGAAATCTTATAACACTCAGACTACTGCTGTGTGAGGCAATAGTATCACTTATAGTCACATATATGAATCCATATTAATCTGTTATTCCATATTATAGTCAAATTAATCCAACAATTAGGTACTTTAGTAAAAAATTATCTGACCGCTTAGCCGAATTTAAGCGAAAAATTCCATAGAGAACTATTGAGATTATATGTAAAAAAGAGCGATTCCGCAGAAATTACAACCACACACTGTACACAAACTACCTTGTTATAATATATATAGTTCGTTCATATAGTTGAAACAAAAATAAAGTTCCATATTTTCCGGTAAGCGAATAATGTAGTTCATATGAGTAAAAATGAATTAAATATCTTTTGTGGCAAATATCTTTTGTGGCAAATATCTTTTGTGGCAAATATCTTTTGTGGCAAATATCTTTTGTGGCAAATATCTTTTGTGGCAAATTATACGGTACGTAGACAGTAAGACAGACTATGTCTACGGTAGAGACATTTGTAGAAGCTGACAGAAACAAAAAAAAAGGATGTCGGAATTTTTCTAAAGCATTAGTGACCCACATTGGAAATATACGTGTACGTGTATATACGTGTCTATATCCTTTAATCATCTTTAAGAGTCTCGTTGCGGAACAAACATAATCAACACTGTCCGAAGGTGTAAGGAGCACTTATAACTTAACGATTCTCAATTTAACTAATATTGACTCTGTTGTAGATATTTTCGATATATTCACTACATACATTAAATAGTAGTGTTTCTCTGAGTGACTCATTTTAAACCGAAGTTCACCTATTCAATCTTTAGGGATTTCTGACAAGCAGAAAATGCATAAAGGTGATAAAATATAAAAACTCCGAAACAAAAAATAATGTGAAGAGTAAAAAGTCAAAATTGGTGAAAATTAAGTGTTTTGAATAATAGTAGATTATTCAATAGTAGATTATTATTAGTAGATTATTATTATTATTAATATTGTCCAAACTTCTATAAAAATCCGGGTGTTCAAATTTCTCGCCAGTTGCTACAATCTTATCTTCTCTTATTCTTAATATAGTAAACATATTGTAATAATTCAAACAAAATGTTTTATAAATATTGTATTAAGTAAGCATTTTGCAATATTCACGACTATCATTTGGAAACGCTTTTGAGACGTTACTTTTGAGACAAATAGAATGTTTTAATAATTCAAATACTTGAGTACAACAAAATTAAGTAACATTTTAAAAGCGTAGGAATCGCTGTTAAACTCGTTAATAAAAAAAAATAATAATGCTACACAACCCTCAACATAACTCTATGAGATGTACTAAATTATTTATAAATTGCTATTTATAAAGATTTAAACGATTTTCAAACAGATTGACAAAAGTAAAACTATTTAACATAAAAGATAAAATTAAAAATTTACCATAAAGCTATTATAGACTTTTACAATTAACGATTATACTTTATAATTCCTTTTACAAATTTTAATAAGAATTATAATATCAATAAGTTTCCATTACAAAGTATTATGGTTGAATATATTACACAGCAGTAAATATTTTATTTACTTACCGCTACAGTCATATTATTGCCAATTTGTACGTCTACAATATCCTTGTGCGATAAATCGTATTTAATATCATTTATTTCCTCAATATTATGCGAGAACTCATTTCCCAAATTATCATGCAAGGATATTTTCAGGACAAAATTCATGCCACGTGGAATTGTATTTTCGATATGTTTCAGTTTTATTGTTGGATATGTAAGAGAAGCCAAAATATATTGTACATTTTTCACTTCAATGCCAATTGGTAAGCTTTGTTCAAATGTTTTTGCCTATAAATAATTAAATTAAGATTAATAGAAGAAAATTTTAAAATATATTATAATAATATTACAATTATTAAATCTCGTCCTAATACATCCTGTGAATTGACAATGCCATCCTTTGTTACTTTAACAATGCCATTACTAGCACTGTCCGGTTTATAAACAACATTATCCAAATTCGATTTAAGTTGTATGGTACTTCGAGGTGCCACTAATATCCAATCCATTGTTATACGTTTCGGCAGTTCTAGCTCCAAGTTCTTGAAAACTGTATAGAACAAATAAAATTATTATATTTATAGAGAAATAAAATTAAAAACTTTAATACATTTATATATAAATATATTAAAATATTATATATATTTATATATGTTATATATTTATTTATTTTATTTAAGTTTTATTTTACTTTATTTAAATTTTTTGTTTTCATTTTTATTCTATATTTATTTTTAATTTTTAATTTTAGTTTTAATTTAATTTATTTTAATTTTATTTTATTTTATTTGTGTGTAACTTTTTTTATAAATATATAATTGAAATATTAATATAAATATTTAATAATAAATATATAATATAAATATATAATACAAATATATAATATAAATATATAATATAAATATATAATATAAATATATAATATAAATATATAATATAAATATATAATACAAATATATAATATAAATATATAATATAAATATATAATATAAAAACATGTTACTACATAAAATTAAACTGAAATAAAAACTTAGAATATTCTTATATAACGATTAATAATTATAAAGTTATATATATTTATAACTATATAAAGTTATATAGTTTATGTATTTATTTTAATTAATTTTAAAATTAACTAAGAATAGGAAACTGAACTGTTAGGTTTTTCGCCGTATATAATTTATAAATTAATCTATAATCAATAATATAAAATATAATTTTTATAAAAGGTCAGAAAATAATGAACTAAAATAAAATAAAAAAAATTAATTAAAATAAATAATAAAAAACATCAATAATAAAAGACATAAGTAATAAAAAAACATATATAAGAATATGACATAAATAAGAAGAAAATTAAATAAAAATACTTCAAAGCTTAATTTTGGACTGAAATATATATTATAAAAAATTTGTCTTAAACATGTAATTTAATAAAATAAAGACATATATAAATTAATATTAATATTTTATAAATATATGAGTATCATAAATATATAGTGAAGTAAATTAATAAATAATATGCCCAGAAAGACATACCAACAACTTCAATATCATGTTTAAATATCTGTCCATTTGGTAAATCAACTTTTACATTGATTCTAGTTTTTCCAGGATTTAAAGCTTTTATACGAACAGAAATCAGATTTCTGTGGTCATATTCAATTCCTGTAATGAAAAAAATTATTTAAAAATTTATAATACATAGATTATAAGATTTTGGCAACTTCCAAACAATTTGCTCATACTGCTTTTCTGACACATACGAATTGTTCGAAGTTGTCAAAAAGTTACTAAACAAAATTAAGTGATAATTATCATAGCAAATTATTGACAAGTGTAAATAATTTATGTGTGCTGTGCAATTAAAAAAATGAGAGCAAAATTGTTTAAATTTGCTAAAATCATAATTTGCTTCTGGATATGATAAATTATGTTAGTTCCGTATCTGTACTTGATTTAAAGCTTTAACAAACAAGCTCATCAGAGAACTTTATACTCTGCGGACATGTTGTGAGCAATGTTTTGTGTATTTATCATCATTGCCGTATCAGGAATGTCCGTAAATAAATTTTAACTTTTTTTCAAACTTTTTTTCATATATATTAAAATTCAACTTAAAAGTTTAATAGTTAACTTACCAGCATCAGTAAATATACTATATATATCAACAACATCTGGCTGATTTGTAGACCAAGTAACACGCATATTTTCCAAAGTACCCAAAACCATTGGTGATAAGTCGGGCATGCCTTAGAAGAAATTCAAATAAATTAGTATTAATTTCAAATACATACGATATTTCTTACCCCAAACAGTCGCTGGCATAACAGCGCCACTACGTATACGTGTTAAAGGCGTTTTGATTTGCACATTTTCCAGTGGCACAACACTTACATCAACTGTATCGACTGAAATCACAATTTCTTCGCTACCAGTATTTGGCATAATGCATTTTCCAGTAATTTGAGTAGCACCCAATTTATGCGCAGTAACCAAAGCAGACTCCATTGCTTAGATTATAATGAAAAATATGTTTGTTAATAACTAATAAATTATTAAATATAATTATCTTACTTATAAGTTTTTCATTGTGAACATAATAGACAATATTAACATCTGGTTGTGGGCCACCTTGATAGTATATTTGTACGCTGGAACCAACCACAAGCGTTGAATTACGAGGATATAAACGCAATGGTGGAAAAACCTTAAAAAAATATTTAAATTAATTACATTTTTATATATAATATTTTAATAAATATAAAAAAAATATTCTCACTTGTATAGTTGCTGGTTCACTAGAGACATTGTATTCATTTATATGGCTATTAAAGACGATTTTAGTTTCACCCAAACTATTTCCAGTTACAATGTATCTAGAATATAAAAAAAAATTTATTTAATTATATTCACAATTTGGTAGTATAGTACAGAACAATTTGAATTATTGATAAGAGTTTAAAACAATTTTTAAATTTATTAATTGAAACGTCTATTTTGTGGAGTTTTACACAAGATTCAATAAAAAAAAAATAGAATATATTAAAATCAATTTAAAATAGAACTATTATGGAATAAAATAAGAAGAGAAATATTCATTCAACTTTTCAATTTCATCTGAGCGAATCGTGGAGTAACATTCCCATGAATTTCTCTATATTACGTCACTAGATTGGATTCTATGCACAAGAAAGTGTAATATAAAAGCATGCAATAAATAATGTCTTTACAAAAGACATTAAAAGTCAAAGTATTGAAATTTAACAATTAAAAAAAATAAAAAAAAAATTAATAAATAAATAAATAATTATAATTATTTTATTAATTAAATATATAATAAAATTGAAAAATTAAAAAATATAATTAATTAATTCAATTATTCTACAGCTCGTTTGTGATTAAGTTCTAATATAACACAGCAAGCGAATTTGTTAATTAACTTTCACATGAAATCAACAAAACTCCAAGTTCGAAAATACAAGTCAAGTAGAGCTTTGGATCAATAAAGATTGAGCTTCAAATTTCACAATTTACAAGTTCAACCTTCAGTACTTGCAGTATCCAAAAATTATTTACGAATAATTAAATATAAGGAATAATTCCAAGATAACTGTTGATGGGTATTTGACAATACTCTGAACAACTGTATGGTTTGGTCAACCAAAAATTCAATTAGTTAAAAATAATAAAAAAAATTGTTGCAATTTACCTGGTTGTTTCGTAAAAACCTCTCTATTGAAAACAACAGTTTATATTTAAAATTTATTTTTTTTGGTCAAAACAGACGTTAAAAATCAATAAAATACAAATTATTAATTAATAATTAAAAAAAAAATAAAAAATAATAATATATAATAAAATAATAATAATACAAAATAATAATGCATTAATAATAATATATAATAATACATTAATAATACATAATAATACATAATAATGCATTAATAATAATACATTAATAATACATAATAATGCATTAATAATAATATATGTATAATACATTAATAATAATATATAATAATACATTAATAATAATACATGTATAATACATTAATAATAATATATAATAATACATTAATAATAATATATAATAATACATTAATAATAATATATAATAATACATTAATAATAATATATAATAATACATTAATAATAATATATAATAATACATTAATAATAATACATGTATAATACATTAATAATAATATATAATAATACATTAATAATAATATATAATAATACATTAATAATAATATATAATAATACATTAATAATAATATTTAATAATACATTAATAATAATATATAATAATACATTAATAATAATATATAATAATACATTAATAATTATATATAATAATACATTAATAATAATATATAATAATACATTAATAATAATATATAATAATTTAAAATAATTTTTTACATCTAAATTTACATAATATGATGTCAACATAGGGATTAGATTAGAAATTACCATTGCCAATATGTGCTTATATGTACATATATAAACATGTATATACGTACATATAAGCACCTATTGACAATGGTAATTTCTAACCTAATCCCTATGCTGACATGTCATTATTTCTAGGACTAGATATTATATGAATATTTTATTTTTTTGAATATTTTAATTTTTTAACACAACAATGTTCATTTATATTCCATTTATTGTGATCTTACCTTATTTCTCCTACACCCAAATTCTTTTGATCACCCAATTGTATACTCAATATATTGGAATTAAAAATTTCATCATGCAAGTCATAAATTTCCAAATTATTAGAATCTATGGTAAGTAAATTATCATTTGAGTCATAAAGACGCACTATAGCCTCAACAGTTTTAGTACGCTCAACGCGATCTGGTACGTCGACAACTATGGCACCAATCGATACCACGGAAATCGAAAGCTGAGCTGGATCAGTCATTAAGCAGCGATCAAGCAATTCAAGACGTGTCTAAGATAAATTAGAAGAATTTAATATTAAATATATTTCATTTTAATTTCAGCAATACTTACATGTCCCATACGAAGAGGCGTTAATATGAGTTCTCTTTCTTTAGCGAGAAATTCAATATTTACAATGCCAGTTTCACTCAGAGTAAAATCGTAATAACCGCTACCCTGTGCAATTGGTATATGTTCACGATGCTGTTTAGCCATAAATATACTAACATGATCAGATAAAAACAGTGTACTATTCACAGCCATAAAGCTTATTTCATTTGTTATTGATGGCGTATGAAGTTTTTGAGTTTTATGCTAAAATAAATAAAAATTCAATTAATACCAAAATAAAATAAATATTAAAATAAAAATAAGGTATAGATAGAAGATATAGATATAAATAATATTGTTTTTAAAAGTTATATTACGCTCAGAATATTCAGTTGTATGTTTAGCACATTTCCAATCATAATTATAACTACATATATTAATTATACATATATATATATATATTTATTTTTTTAGCTTACATTTGTGGCTGCAAAGACCGGCGTTTCGGCACGTATATTAAAGTGATTCAGTATGCCTGGTATATAATTTGTAACATCACCACGTATGCGGAAATTTGGCACTGGTTCCGGAAATGTTGTAACAAATAAATCTTTACTCGGTATAGGTACACCTTTAATAAACTCTATTACAGCATTTCGACGATAATGCAATGTTGAATCAGAGTGGAAACGTTCATCACCAACAGCGAACTTCCAATCAATAAGCAGCGATGAAATATTCATTAATCTACGGTTTTGCGCATCTTGTACTTCAATTTCTATTTCGAATTTTTCATCGCGATCTTTGAGATGTAGAAGCGAAAGCTTCATTTGCATAGGACACGTTGGACGCAGTTTCTCAGTGGCATATAAATTAAGAAAACGTGGAGCAACACAATGTATCTCAGTCAAAATTTTGGATGTGTAAGGTATGAAATTCTTTGGCACTAATTTATTAAAAATCTTGAAATCAAGAGTCGTACTACCGATTTTAGTACATAAAATATTATAAGCATATATAGCATTTGAAGATTCAACATCGAGTTCATTGATTTTCGCCACACTCTGATCATATTCAGTCTCCTTGACTAACTCAGCTTCTAATGTAAAAATGCGTTGTTGACCATTCATATAAATAATGTTACGCGACGCACCAATAGGTAAGACAATTTCATTTGATGTAGGATTGAGTATATCAAGTTTGTCGAAAACACTCAACGTAACTTCTTCTTTCAATAATTTATCCTGAAACTGATATGAGATCTTTAAATGCGTTAAACCTGTTGCTGTTGCCCGCAAATGTATAACTTGACAAACAAGTGTCATATGTTCTTTTTTCCAATCAACGTCTTCTACTTGGAAAATTTTATTACTGAACTCTAAATCAAAATCTATCATATCACATGTGGTAAAGGGCACATAAGTGCCATTAACGAACGTATGAAGAGCTAAATGTATACGTACGAAATCATCTAATGCAGTTTCAAAATTATATTTAACAATTTGTAATTTGACCGGTGGCATGAAAAATATATCCGCTTGTCGTATTATTTTAGGATTCTTTGTTAATGCAACTTTTATGCTACCGCGGCTTCGTAATACAGTGCCTGCATAGTAAGCATCTAAATGTCGCTTTCTATCTGTGTCACGTATAATTGTTGTGGCCAAACCATTCTGTGTAATTTGTATATCACGGGAGTTTTGAGATTGCCAAATATAAAAGCCATCACCACCGTTTGCCTCAAATTGAATTTGTTGAATCTTATTGACCTGTGGATCGAATGGTAAAATTACAGTGCTCGGTACCAGCACTAAGTTGTCATAAATATGCATTTCAGCAACAACGCTTAACTGAAAGTAAATCAAAGTTAATAATACTTAACAAACTAAATAATGAAATTAGTTTAACCTGCTTAAATTGTCCAGAAACAGTTACAGTGCCCTTATGCAATGCTTCACCGTACAAACGACTACCATTAGTATTTTCTTGCTTAATTTCAAAATTTCGACTGCTCAACTCTGATACCACACTATACTTTGAACCAAGTGTTAACTTTTTATCATCACTACAATAAAGTAAAACAAAATTTTACACAACAACATATACAATATATATATATATATATTACAATTTACCTCGTGTATAGATCAAAAGCAATTATGTGCATTTCTCCTGCAACGGTTATCCAATTGTTAAAAGGTAAGAGTGTTACACCCAATCTAAAAGGTCTTGCCACAGTAAGTCTTGCACTTGGTGCAGATGATTTTGTTATAGAGTTATCACCAGAGAAGTTATTGTCAAGTGGAGCATTGCGATCACGTAACACTACAACGGTACGACCGAGCTTAAGGCCCGTTGCCTTGGCGTCATCTATACTAGCTACCGTATTATCGTCAATTTCCAAATAATACTGATTATTCAAAGAAATTTCTTGTAATTTTCCCATTTTCAGTTGTAAAATACGGAAGTTAATTGTATCGCCAGTTAACATATGAACTTCAGATGGTTCTAATATGATATTCGCCAAAACACTAATAAACACTTCAATTTTGTTCACATGACGGTATTCTTCATGCGGTAGACTAACTGTCACCTTAAAATTTAAAATAAATAAATGAGCAATTTTTATAATGGAATAAATCACTGAATTACCTTAGCAGTGCCAGTATTTATTCCTTCCAGTAATACCATATAGCCTTTCATACGCTGCACTTCAAACTTCTCTAAGGATGATGGCACTTCATGATATTCACTTTCGCTAAACGATAAGAAACGCAACGCAGGCAGCCAACCTTTACTTTTGCTAGTAATTGAAGAGATTTCCCAATTAAATTCTACACCCTCTAAAGTTGTGAACGCATTGCCTTGAGAATCTTCGGCACGTAATTCAAAAGTTTCTGGCGCCTCCTCCAAGTATAATTGACGTGTCGTTGTGTGTACACCAAGCTTATCAATAACATCAATAATAACATCACAACGCAATGTGGCATCAGTGGACAATGACTCGGCTAAAACAATCGCTGTATTTCGCCGACGCTCCCGTGACACCACAGTAACAGTTGCACGATGAGAACATTCCTCGCTATCGTCATAAAGTGGTGTTATCAGTATCAAGTCCTGCCTCGATGAAGTCCTATTTAATTAATAACATAGTAACATTTGTTTAATATTCAAAAATTAAAGCTTTCAAAAGGTTTTAAGGTTATGTAGTTAAGCACCAACAGCCGGCAATAGCAACAACAATTTCTCACCATTTGAAACAGCCTTTTTCAATAACTTCCAATGTAAAATTTATGGATATTTTATCAAATATTGGTAATAGAACACGCGGATAATTTAATTTTGTGCTTTCAACATTGTTTATAGTTATAAAACTAAACAAAAACAATAAAAGAAATACTTTTAATCTGCACATTTCGCGCCTTTCCTTATTCACACCTTCAACGCAAAAAGTCAAATGAAGACTCTCGCAAACAATTTGACAATTAGGGTTGCCAACGTTGCTATAAGCATGGTTTTGAAGTATACATCGAAAGCGTTGACGCGAAATAATCGTTCGTGATTCGCAGCACAATATTCGTTCGAAATTCGCAGCGAATATTCGTTCGTGATTCGCAACAAAATATTCGCTCGAAATTTTCTACGAAACATTCACTTTCTTCCGCATGTTAGTTTTAATGTCTTGTTGAGAGCATAAAATTGGTTATAATATATATTATCATAGTGGTTATGCATATATTCATCGTAATAAAGGCAATATTATATATGCTAAAATAAATACAAAATCATATTTAAATCAAATATTTCATTATCAATGCTTATTTTATATGTTTATTAATATTTTTATAGTTTTCGAAAGCGCAAAATAAATATATATTAAGTTTTTAAATATAATTTGTTTAGTCATTTTTATAATTCAATATATATTATTTTTTATATATATATTATTATTTATATATATTATTATTATTTATTAATTATTCTTAAGCGTATGTTAATACTGAACCGAAACATTATTTAACTAAAATTTGTATTTTCGATTGAAAAAACATTAAAATCACACAATTTCATTAATAAAAATTTTCAAATGAAATTATATTAATATTGAATTAAAAATTAAATAAAATGTCGTGCACAAAATTGACAACATGCTATTTTCATCCATTATGGTTGACATCATCTATTTTAGTTTTTTAAATGATTCACCTTTGCATAAAGGTACATTAAGTGAATGAAATAAGTTTTGGCACTGAGCTATAAATAGTTTTACTTTTTAATAGGTTTTTTTTTAAAAAACTTATATGGCATTTACACAGTCATTTGAAAGTGTTTACATTCGTTGTTTTTCATTTGTTCTAATTTAAAACAGCTGATTTGGCAATGTGCTTGTTAATTTGATTTTTGGTCTGTGCCAAAAAAATGTTGGATGAAGGTAAAAGATATCTTCAAACATTAGAATATAAACTAAAAACTTATTTTTAGTTTCGACTAAATTTTTTGGATTTATTGTGTATTATTAAACCTGAAATACATCAGCTGTTCAATGTCAGTTTTATAATTTTGTAAAAAAAATTATCTAAAATAGTTCATTTCTGTTTTATATCATCATAATTATTTATTTCATATACTCTACCATTTACGAATAATTTCGAGATATATATGAGAAGTAAATATTCGCAGTTTCGTACAGAAAATTCTGTTTATTAAAAAAAAAACATGTGGTGTTGAGCTCGGTCAGAATTACACTTAATATTTCTTACAGAAGAATTGAAAAAAAATTTTCATTGCAATTTAATTGTATATATATTAAATGATAAAAAAAATTTATTAGCCTGTTCAAGCTACACCATTAATTGCAATAATTGTAATATATTTCAATACATGGCATTAAATATGATACACAATAAATATCATGTTATATTATATTAGATTTATTGCCAATAAAAGGCAGTTTTATTTGTATTTTGTTAGAATGAAGCACCGAACATACTTAATAATAATATTAAACAGACCTTAATATTATCAAAACTTCTTTTTGACATTTGCCATATTTGTTTACATTTGGCACGGTACTAATGCGCTTTTCATTTAAAATTAATTATTTTCTTTTCAATTTGAACCAAAATGTAATATTTTGGAAGGCGAAAAATGATTAATTACTAAACGAATAGTTAAATAAAACAATTGTAGGTCTAATCAAACATAATACATAATCTAAACATAGTTTAATAAAAATATGGAAAATTTAAAGTGAAATTTTGCTGTTTATTTGTAGGCAACTATATTGATATTTATGGGCGTGTGCGAGTTAGGCTAAGTTGATGCTAAACCAAATGGGACATTTTTTGGGATTTTTTGCACTGCACACATTACCCATTTATCAACATGTATCGACACATCACTACATTATCGGCACAACTTAGAATTTCCCTCATTTAGAACGCAACTTAGCCTAACTCGCACACGACCTATATATATTGATATATATATATACATATTGATAAAATAATACTATTCACGAAACTATCTAAGTTTAAGCAACTCATATTTATTTAAAATTATAATAAACAACTGCATGAGTTTTTTGTGTCAATATCTTTTCTATTAACTGTCCTATTTTTCTATTATAACAACAATAATAGAACAATAACTGTTCTGTCAATTCTAATCTTGTTGGAATGTGAAGGAAAATATAATCGAAAGAAACTGGAAAAAAATATTTATTCTAGCACATCATATAATATAACCGACAGCAGATTAGTCAGATGCAGAAGTGATTACAATCATAAAAATAACAAAAAAAAGTGTAATAATTTTTATGAGTTTAATAAACGACCTAAGCTCAGTGAAAATCAAAAAACTTATTGATAAAAATTTACAAAATAATATTTACAGAATCCGTTCGGCAACACATTGTGGAAGGTAAACTGATTTACTATTGTGAATATAATTAAATTTGACAGATACGATGAGTGGTTGTTCTTGACGGATTTTTAAGTTATTCTACCAGCTGTATTTTGTTTAAGGGCTACAAACGCTAAGAAATATACAAAATTTATATTATTTTTTGTGGAGTTTTATTTTATATATTTATTTTAAGATGGTAAATGTTATGAAAGGAGTGTTAGTTAAATGGTGAGTGAATATATCATAGTTTTATTAAATCTGCGTAACTTGTAAGAAATGCTTGATATTTGTTTATGTTTTGAATTGTAAACTGTAACAAATAAATGTTACAATAATTTCATATATTTTGTGTATTTCGTTACGCTGATTGCTTAACTTAAGCTTGAATAAAGTATTTACATTAAAATTACCGATGACATGTAAGCAATGAATGTTTTACCATTTGTCTTCCCACCAAATCTTATAGTGGTTTTAGCTCATTGCACCTTGATATGTTTTTGTCTAGGAAATATACGAATCACCTTCGAACCGATTTCTTTTTAAGGTCCTTCTCTGCTACAGCAAAATCTTAGAGGTTTAACATTTGTTTTATGCATTGAAAAATATCATTAAGCATGTGCATTTATTATAAATGTGTCTAATGTATTTGATTTTTTCCAGTGATCCGGCTATGAAACAATTTCTGCTACATTTAGATGAAACTTTATCATTGGGCTGCAAATTCATAATCCAAGACTTAGATGATAATCACCTATTCATATCAACTGAAATCGTCGAAACTCTGCAAGCACGCATTGATGACCTAATGGATCGCATTAATGTATCAGTGCATGATAAGTAAAAAATAAACTCCATAACACCTAACTCCATATACCTTCAATATCCATATCCACAACAAAATTTAATAATAACTTGTAATTAATTTGTCACTCGATATGTCCAACAACAAGTCATTTAACCTCATTACGGAAACAGCAAAACAACGTACTCTATATGCAGCCACATCCAATGCAACACCAAAAACAGCACAGCAAAAGGATTTAGAGGAAGATATATCGAACCACAAGTCAGTTTCCATTATGTCGAAGAAAACTTCTAAGTTGCGAGATAATAATGGAAAACAAAAGAAAAGTAAAAAGCGTAAGAGAGCACACCAAAAACTTCGAATGAACTTTCAACAATTTCTAGATAGCGAAAAACGTTGTTGTAGTGAGTATGCTCTAATTTACATGCAAGCTGCAGCACCAGCTCCAAAGGTTCCACCTCGTAAATATTGTGCTGTGTGTGGCTACTATTCTAATTATACCTGTACTGTGTGCAGCACTCGCTTTTGTAGTGTTCCATGCATGCAGATCCATCAGAACACACGTTGTGCTGCTCCTAACAGCAGCTTTTGCTGTATGAATCAGACAGCAAATTTAGTTGACTAGTATTCATCAAATATGGGAAATGTTTATATATTTTATTTCATTTTATTTTATTTTCTTTTAATTATAAATACTAAAGTCTCAAACTCATATATTGCTCTTGCAAAATGGTAAGTGAACGTAACAAATAATATATATTTTTTAATGTTAATTTTTTCTTGCCGAGAGTGACGCGTCTTTATAACGAAATATATATTTTTTTATTATATTCTTATTTATTTACTTTATGAATCTATAATTACTTCTTGTGTTTATACAAATAAATTTCAAAAAACAATAAAAAATATATTTATATCAAAATAAAACTTACTTGATTTGTTTTACTTGCCTCCATAATTATTGCGGAATTGATAACAAATAATTTTGGAAAATATTTTAAAATTGATTTTCTAATGGAATATGTTATAAGCAGACACTGATGGGCCCCGCAATTCTGTCCGGTGAAGAGAATTGCTTTCTTTAAACGAACTGTAGCTACTGGTTAAGGTGCGTTGATAGCTGAGTTTCAAATTTGGGAGGACCCGAGTTCGATTCCTGGTAGTTGTAGTTTCAAAAAATTATTTACGAATAATTAAATACAAGAATTATTTCCAAGACCACTGATGATAGGTAATTGGTAATACTCGAAACAGCTATATGGTCAGCCAAAAATTCAATTAATTAAAATATAAAAGGAATTTTTGTTGTTGTAATTCACTACTGTTCGAAAAACCTTTTTAAAAAATTATTTATGTTAATGAAATTAAAATTTGGTTGATACAAGCTGAAATATGTATCTTATGAAATAGCTTGTTTGATCACATTTTACATATAAAACACATAATAAATATTTCAAAGCTTGGTAATTTCCCTTATGGGAAATTTATTTTTAAGCTATTTTTCGCCTTAAATCATTTGATTTATTTATAATAAATTAATTTATATAAAAGCTTTTTGTATGATAAATTATCCTCATTATCGGCCTAAATGAGACAAGTGAAAACGTGGTATAAGAACGTTGTAGAGATGTCGTCTGTTTAACAAAGTTTTGACTATATTCATTCATTAATAAGAATAAAGTTACAGTTTAATAATCTAAATAACAAAATCAACTTATAAAACTCATAATGAGTATTATTAAATCTGATATAAAATAGGTTACA